AGTATAGCTGCTGGATTCTTTGCCTCTGTCTCTCTGTCTAACAGGCACCTTCCCACCAGGGGAAAAAAAAAGCCCAAAACATTTTGTGGTTTAATGCCTCTCTGGCATTAACTTTATTGCTTTTCAGAAGGTTTTAGTTTTTTCTTCCCCTCCCCCCCCTTTCTAGGGGTCATGTTGCTGTAGCTGCACTCATCCTCTAGTGATAGGTTCTGTGCCTGCTCCAGCTAAGCTTGGAGTGCAGCAGTAAACAGGCTCTGCAATCACCAAGCCAAAGCAGGCATCTGAAGGCGGTCACCAGCTACTACTAGAAAAGACACCCCACCCCCTCACACCGAGGAATGGAAGGAGGAATTCTTTTTCTTTGAAAGTGTTATTTACACCAGAGAAACAACTTCTGTGACCTGATGCTGCCACATCACTAGAATACACTTTCAAATGATAGATTCCTTTAGGGGGATCTGCTCTACCTGTAGCAGTACTTTATTCCTGCTATTAGCCTTCCTTTTCTGAGATGGGAGTAATGGAAAGTGTTGCATATCAGAGAAGGTACTCATGCCTCTTTAAGGGAAAATCAGATTTGTGATGATTTATGCTGTGTTGAGCTAAAGAAATCAAAATCAATTTGGAAGGGATTATGTTGCCTTGCAAACAGCAGCTTGTATTCTTTAAAAGTAAAAAAATGCTGATGAGTGACCTGTCCCAGCAAAATATATTAAAAACAGGTCTCAAGTTATATCTTAACTACAAAGAGTTACACCTTTTGCAAGTGGGGATGGAGTATATGGTTGCATATATTTGAGAAGACTTTAATAGAGACGAGGTGTTCTATGAAGCAGTTCTGAAGATATCCAGTCTACCCCCTGGGAAGGGGGAACAAGGGTCTTGATCTGTAGTTCAGAGCCCAGACTAACAGACTGCTTCACAGTATCATGTGAAGTCTACAGAGCTAGGAAGCATGGCGGCGTGGTGCTTGCATACTTCCCATTTTCACCAGTGGAACTCCCAAAGCAAAAGCAAGGCAAATCAGCGAACACCAAGTTAAGGAACACAGGAAGTTTTGGTCTTCCCTTTCCTTTTGTATGTGTCAAGGATCCAGCTTGCTGCTGAAGGTAGGAAGTTTAACTAGGAGCAAGCTCTACTCTTATTACAACTTTTATTTCGTGGCATCAGAGTACTTTGCAAACACTGTTGAATTCAGGTTCACAATACTTCTGTCAAATGCTAAATATTCTTATATTCCACACAGGAAAACTCATGAAGAGAGCTATTATCCAGAGATAGGCAAGAAACCCACAACAAAACTGGAAACACAAAGCAAGGCTTTAACCAAGAGATTGCATATGACTTACTTTGCAGAGGATGCTTTGTACTGGGCATAACTGGCAGGGTTTTGGTAGCAGGGGGCTATAGGCGTGATTTGTTGTGGGAAGCCATGAACTACCCCAGGCGAGTCATAGCTACCTCCAGCTGCCCCTGAAACCGCTGCAAATAACCCACCATGTGCCAAAACTTCAACCAGTCAGAGAAGCACATGGTGCCTCTGCTCAGAGATGTTTAAGAAAGCAGCAGCCACTAAGAGGAGAGGACACATGGCTGGTGGCACTGTTGGGGATGTGATTGGAGACGTACTCTTGGAAGGAAGTGCCTTGTGCCAGAGCAGGCACACCCCTGAAGGGACTGTGGGTCATGGGCAACCCACACCAGAGTAGGGACACTGCAGAGGGACTGTGTACCATGGTAAACCCATGCTGGAGTAGAGGAAAACAAGCAAGAAGCAAGAAGCAGTACACACATCCCTGGTCTGCTGCATTGCCCCTCACCTCACCAAAGGGATTAGGAGTAGCTGAGTGTAACGTGTAGCAAAACCAAGGTGAGTTGAGACCCGGAAAGAGGGAAGAGAAGTTTTTTACTGAATTAGAGACTGGGGAAGAAAGGTGTTTCTTCACCAAGTGTTTTATTTAATTGTCTTTTTTTCCTCAACACCCAGATCTGTAATCAAAAGTTTTGTTAACTGGCAATAAATTAAGTAAAATTCCCCAAACCAAGACTGTTTTGCTCATGATGTGCTTATAAAGTACTCTGGCATATTTCTTAAGTCCTACATACTATGAAATCCATTGTTAGAGAAAAGGGATCACAGGAAGGAAGTACAGGGGCATTACTCGCTGTAGCTAGGCTGCCGTTTGAACAGTAAGTTACTGTGCTGAGGCAGCTGCATTAAGATTCTCACTAAAAAGCATGTTTAGATGAAGTGTTTAATGCACCCTATAAAAGCAGTCACCTACACAGGGTGAGGATGGCATGGAGGTAATAGGCACCACTCCACTAGACAGTTTTGGCCATGGGAAGAGGCTCAAAAGTGAATTACAGTGAACTACTGCCAGTGGAAAATAAAGCTGGTCACACAAGGAGCCAGCACAAAGCAGATGCCACATCTTAAAATTCAAACCTCAGTTTATTTAATGATAGTGTCCCCATGGAGGCATGCCTTAAAGGTCTCCTGAGAGCTCTCATGGTACAGACTGCCTTGTCTGCCTGTTAGTTGCAGGAAAGGGTAGATATGCTTTCAGACTTCTTCTTTTCCCCCAAATTAACCAATTGGACATGCGTTTTTTTCCTCAGGACCAGCTATGGGGTCAGTGATTATGCCAGCTTCCTTTTTTGTCCCCACATAAAACAGCTCTATGAAAGACTCGGGGATCTGTCAAATTAACATGGTGATGGGGATGGGAAAAAGATATGCAGCATTTTAAACTATAGCCTCCTCTCTGACTGCAGAAAGGACAAGTTATGCAACTCCCGAATGGGAGGGGGAACCCTGTTTGTCTCATTTGCTTTATTTGATTTTATAACTGCTGCACTGAGTTGCAAAAGGCTGATAAAATCTATTTTAAACAAAGAGCATAAGTCCTGCAGGCTAATATTACTATTCATCTACTGCCTGCTTCCCCAATTATTCTCCCTTCTTGAAGTTATGTTGATAAATCAGTTGCCTTCCTGTTTATTAAAGCATGTGGCAGTCTGTTTATTTAATCAGCTCTTGGCCCATTTTCTAATTAAGGGAGATAATGTGGGCTCATTTCCTTCCATGGCAGGAAGCCATGGCAGGAGCCTGGCAGGGCACAGGTTGTCCTCAACTACCGCATTAAAATTCAAGATTATTTGTAATGTCTGCTTTTGTTTGGCAACTCCTTCCTTTCTTTCTGCCCAGCTGAAGACAAAAATACAGACATATGTTTTTTTCTGCATTTCCACACTGCTGACATCCACCCAAGTCAAGGACAGGAAGATGGAAGCAGGTGGAGCTTTGTCACTTTGCTGACATGGTGCCTGTTTTTCTGGGAGACGCTGAATCCTAGCAAAGTTAATAATACTGCATCATATGATGAACCTAAGGATAATTTTGTGAAGGAAGGGAATACTGGAATGCAAAGGGAAAGCACACACCGGTTGGAGCATGTTCCTAGCTTGCTCTTCTGCTGGACTTGGGCCATCTCCTGCACCGCTGTGGCCCCAATCTTTTGTCTGTCTGCTTAGTGCAGGAATATTGCTAACCAACAACTGCAGCATTAAATCATTTTTGTGTTCTCTGTATTCCAAAGCAAGCAAGGATCTTGTAACAGCCTTAAGATCACCTCTCTTCCTACCTCTGAGATATCCTGCCTTGTATCTTGCTTGTGACACATCCTCAGCATTTAACAGCTACAGCTAACCTAAGATCACTAGTCTGGCAGGGAAGTTCTCTTTTGCAGGGCCTCCTTCTATCCCTTAGGACACATTTAGAGGGCATATTAAGTTCTCCTGTCTAGAAAGAAACCATAGATACATTGCAAGTTATCAATACATGCCATATGCAGTGTCTTTCAGTGGGCCTTTTGAACTGCTGAAAACAAGACCATCCATTTTGTCTCACTTTACAGGCTCTCCTTCAATCAAGAAACGCAGGCAAATATCACTTTGCCACACTTTCAGCAGTGTTTCATACCAATTATGCTATGCACGTCCTTGCAATGTGCCTTTATGTGGAACAACTGAAAACTTGACGTGGTCCTGGGCAGCCCTCTCTAGATGACACTGTTTTGAGCAGGGATTTGGACTATATGATATCCATAGGTACCAGCCAACCTCAGTCATTCTGTGATTCTGTGGAAAAAAAAAAAATCCCAGTGGTTCTAGCACTCCGTCAATAAGCTGTACAACACTATTTTCCAAACTCTGATCCATGGAGAAATGTTGCCCTGATCCCTTTTAAAGTTGGCTAAATGCCCACAGTGAGGGTTTGTGCATAAACTGCTTTCTGAATTGCACCTTACTTTTCATTCTCTGCTTACACTTTCATTTTATTTGCCTTTGCAAGCAACAGCAAAAGCGTTTCCATTTCTGGAGCCTTACTTTTGGAAACAATGTATTTAATTTTTCAAATTAAATTGCAATCCAAAAGGAAGTGTCTGGTTTTGTTACGCTACTAATTGTCTGAACCTCTGTCTCACCTCATCTGTCTCACTTAGATCCAGAGTGTGCTCTGGATCTAACACACTCAATACCTTCACAAACACCTACTTAAAAATAATAAAAAAAACCAATTCACCTTTATATAGACCACTGTTCCCTTCACATGCATTCAAGTGACTGCTATGAGTACCATGCTGTTATTGACCAATGAAAAAAGACAGAATAAAATTATATATAAAATATATAGTACAGGAAGAAGCAGAAAACAAATGAACTTCCATTTTCAAATGGCAGTATTTCCCACCTTGTATTTTTCCATGCAAAATACATTGCACTTTTCTCTTTCTACTGAGCCTACTGAGCATCTCACAAATACTGCAGCAAATGGAATGGGTCCACGGATAGAGGCAAGACTTCATCACTTTAAATTGCCTGTGTTCAAGCATGGACCTTATTCCCAGAGGAAACCCACTGCAACAAGTGTGGGAAAGGCTCAGTGAAGGGAGGAGGAAAATTTCCTAGAGCTTTCCCCCAGACCCCACACTTACCAAAGGCTCTAGTTCTTTGCGGTCTATGAGGTTGAGCTCTGTCACAAAGTAATAAAAATGCTTGTAACAGGTATTGACGTGGGCCTCAGCCCCCATAAGGATGATACGGTCAAAGTGATGGATGTAGACGTGAACAAACACCCGAAAAAGCCGGCAGAGTATCTTCTTGCAGATCTGAAGGAAGTTCTTTGGAAAGGGAACACCTGTGAATAGAGAAGGCAGGGTTGTCATAACCATCCTGTCATCCTCCCAAGACAGCTTTGGAGAAAAGCGTGAGTTTGTAACTGCAAACTAGGTTATGACTTCCTAGGCCTCCTTTCCAATCCAGAAGATCACTTAATGCATACATTTATCTGACCGCTAGCACCAAAGATAACCAAATACTTAAGCAATTTTAATGGATCAAGACCGAAAGGTACTGGTCCTTTCTCCCTGAATAATTTAATGGAGGAACATCCAGTATTGTAAGGTTCAGAAATGTGATGTACAAACTGGGGATCAGAGAAATAGCTGCATCTACCAAAGCACAACTACTTCATCTCCTTAAGAAATGTTTGCTTTTGGTTGTCACATCCATTCATCTCAATGACAAAGTTAATATTGAAGGTCACAGAGGAGGACGCCTAAATGCTCAAGCCATGAACCGACAAATTGCTAAGCTATGGAAATCATAATAGGTACAGATGTTTTGGCAATATTTGAATCAAAACTCCATGCAATTAGCCAAACACCTGGATTATAACAAACAATTGTTGTTATTTCCAAGGGCAAAATAAATACAATCTATTAAAAAACATAACAGACACCCCACCCCCCCTTATTAACCGGGGGGACCACATTTCAGCCATCAGAGCATGGCTAGATTCAGGAATGATTACAGCAGCAGCCTGCTTTACATTTTTGTAAAAGCTACCCAAACCAGAATTTTAAAAACATACCCACGAAAATATTAAGTCTTAAAAAAGGGAGAAGGGGGATAGCTGGCACTTGTCACTGCAAGCTAGTCCACTGAACTGAGAGATGAATTCTTGAAGGCACTATATTTTCTGACCCAGAACAAGCATGTCCCAAAATGGAGAATAATTAGTTTCATCTTCCACGGGCTGACATATGATTGTTACTGAAGAATGTTACTGTAATGAAGAAACTCATACTTCTGTGTTAACTGACTAAAACAAGCCAAATAAACCAAGCTGACAAACCCTTTAACTTCTCTACAGCCCATGTTCCCACTTAACAGTTACAGGCAGTAAGTGCAAAGGCCATAGAGCCCTGTTTCTGCTGCGAGTGAGGACCTTCATCTGAGAGCTTTTTAGATGTGTTAGGCAGTCAATATGAGGACACATAAATAACACAGAGAAAAAAAATAGCTGGTGCAGAACAGCCTAGGGTGCAGTGTTCCCATTGCTCCTCACATGTATTAAGTTTTCAGACAGGCTGTGTAGTTTCATTTGCCATTGAGGAACTTCTCCAATTTTGCAAAGCTCTCTCTGTTTCATTCACTCTTAAATAAACAGTGAAACATTGCTGCTATCACAGATTTATCACCTGGGTATGGCAGAATCCATAATGGCTCTCTGACTTCTCTCCCCTTCCTGCAAAACTGGTTTACAAACTGACACGGTGTCCTAAATAGTTAAAAAGTGCCTTGTACCACTGAAAGCAATTGGTCCTGTGCAGTGAGCTAGACTCCTCAGCCTTGGAGAGCCCGCCAGCCAGTCTGTACCTGGAGTACAGAAGAGGCTCAAAGTCTGGTCAGTCTCGAGATACAGATAAGCATATGAAGGTGGCTGCAGCACTAGTTTAGACATAGACTCTGCTGCTCTTTGTGTTCAAGATTAGACAAAAGGATGGTAGAAATGTAGTCTCAAAGAAAAAAAAATCTAATAGAACAGATTCTGATCTCAGTTACAGTAGAATGAATCCAAAGTAATGCCATCAAAATTTAAAAAAATCAGAGTGAAATGATTCTAGATTTATATTCTGAGGTCAGAATTTGGCCTAATGTTTTGTTCCCACTGCCACTGCTAGTTATAAATAGATCAACCACAGAACACAATCATTACAAGTGGCTCTTGGGAATGGACTAGCTTAGATTTAGATCCTTGACTTGTTAAGGAGTTTGTTCTCTGTCCTTCAGCTCAGCCACAGTAGCCTTTGCCTTCTTCCCCTCCAAGCCCTCATTTAACATGGAGTCCAGGTTTAATAATTCCTTTCCTGGAACTTTGTAGTTAAAAAAGGAGAGGAAAAGAAAGGAAAAAAAAAACCCAAACCCACCAAAAGTCCAAGCATTTATTTAAACTTTGGATTCTTTTTAACAGTGAAAAAAATTTTGAAGAAGAAAGATGATTGCCTTACTATCTGCAAGGTGATACTGTAAAGAGACAGAATGCAAACCCACCAAATTAGATTGCTGAGTTATGGTATTAAAAGGCAAAGAAATACAAAGATGACACTGAAATCTTTGAGCTAGCTGCTACTTGCTGAAAAAAGTATTTCTGGATGAGTGAACTGGCAGCCTTGACTCATCTGTAGGCTGAGCCCCAGTGCTGCTGTATGAGAAGAAAGTAACAGAAGGGTCCTTTTTGTTAATTTGGTGTTCAAAACCCCAAAGCTCCCCATTATGTCCCAAGAATGTGCAAGCACCTTTCAAACGCCCCAGTCACATAGTAGGAGCTCCTTTAACTCAGGGTTATATATGCAATTGGAAAACAATACAGTGGAGGGTAGATAGGCATGGTATAACCAGTAACAAACACAACCAGCATGACTGTACCCATACCTCTCCAGAGCGTGTGCTGTACTGGCCAGTGCTGTACTAACAGATGGCCTCCTCCTGCAGAAAAGCTGCACCCATATACCCTGGTGACAGATGCACCTGAGCAGCATAGGGGAACAATCACGTCGTCTCCCCTGTGCTCCAACCTCCCCATACTCCTTTGACCTTTTTGCTTCTGTTGACTTGCTAGAAAAGGCTACTCCTAACATGAGCAGGACTCTCTACAACTTCCAAAACTCAGCTTGCCTGATCCATTTACCAAGTCCTTTTCCATTGGAAAATGGAGGGATTTTCCCCTTCTTTTTGAAAACAGCCTTATAGCCACAACTCTCTGTAGGCTATCAACTTCATTCTTTACATGTTCTTAATTTGCTATCAGGTGATTTGTTCCTGTGCCGGAGTGAGCATCCAGATCTAATCTATCCATCACCAAACAGACATACAGCACAGTGCTAACAAAGTGAGTCATGCCATTGATCTATTGTCTTATTTCTTTGAGTATTCCACATACATGACAACTGCAGACAATGTCATGGCCCTCCTCTCTTGACACTCACTCCCCAAAAGCAGTATTATGACTGCTATCTGCTCGAAAGGCTGGTCACAATAAGATGGAAAAGTAAGCTGACCATTTGTGCAGTGATTACCAGTAAGTTAATGGTCTGTTGGTTTAAAACACAGATGTTTTAATGCCACAATGAAGGTCCTCATTTAAACCCTGCTGATACAAAACCTGTTCTTTGTATGATGTAAAAAAATGGTGGGATAAGACAGAGAGACTACAAGTTAAAGAAACTAAATTACGTGGGGATAAAGGAGGGCAACTAAAGGTCTGAGATGAATGCAACAGGCAAAAAGTCTGTCTCATTTGATATACAACAATCTTGAATCTTCTTACATCAATATGTATGACAACCTTCCCTGAAGTAGGTCAGTTGCACAGGTTAGAGAGGAAACAGAAGAAAAGTCATAATACAATTTCTCTTTGTTGCCTGATTAATTATCTCTAGGCAAGAGTCAGAAAGTACATGGTCCCAGAAAGTCGATGCTGAGGAACCAGAGAGAACAACCCAGACTTTTTGCCTGTAATGTTACATGTGGTTCTCAACTGGCTCACACTCCTGCCTGTAACATGAAATGAAAATGACTGCCCAGCTAAATCTTCTGTGATGCCAGACGCATGAGCATTTTTGACCTTCTGTATTTGTGTGGTTTGAAGTCTTGCTTTACTCAAGGGCAGCTAGTAAGCCCTTTGGTAACTGTGCACAGAAATTTTGCTGCACATTTGAAAATCCTTTTATAGGCCACAGTTGTAATTCATTCTTTTTTTAAAAATACACATGTGGGAAGAAAAGAGAGACTCACTTCTGCACTGGCAACAGGATTGACACTATACTATTGCAAACACAGCTTAAAAACATACCAACCTGATAAAGTAAGATTTTTTCCAGTTTCATAATAAGGAACAAGAAAACAGTGTTACCAGAAACTAACACTTTGGAGAAGGCACCTGAACCAAACCCTTCCTCCCCTCCTCCCACCATGTTTTCCTTCTCCTATCCCTGCCGCAAGTACAAGAATTTCCAAAAGATGTCCCCAGCTATGGCTGGAAGCTTTGCTGCAAGAACACCTATCCTGATCCAAGCAGATGTTTAATGTTATCTCAGTGTGTTAGTCAAGGAAGTGTCTGTCTCAAGGGCCAATGAAAACAATGTCAGTTTTGCTGGACTTTGTTTCTCACATAAATAAGCAGGCAGCTGCAAAATATTAGGGATAAACTAGACTACCATGTACCTACATCCTCCTGATACTGCCCTCCTTTGTGCTCTCAGAGAGAGCAGAAGAAAGGAAAACACTCTTGAGATTATATGGCTTTCTAAGCAAAATGGTGTCCTTTTTTTAGGCAGGACTGTCTCTAACAGTGTTACTCTTGCGTGAATAAATCAGCAGGCAGGCCCACTGTCAGATCTTCAACAAAGGTACTCATGTACTGTCCTGGGGAAAACTCTAAATGGAACAGGGTACAGATCAGAAAATTGTTTGAGGCTTTGCACTACCTGAACATCCACAACAGCTCTCCCTGCTGCTGTATATCAAGAAATGTGTGATGGCACTAAATTTTGCCATTTAATTTACAATTTCACCAGAAGAGGTGTCTTATAATGCAAATACTGCGAAACACCTAAGTATGTAAAGCACCTGAATTGACTCTCCCTGAAATCAGAGGACAGAGGGACCTAAATCCTTGTGCTGCTTAAGCCAGATCCCTTGATTTTAAGCAAGTTTACAATGGCTGTTCCTGACTACAATCTGACCTCCTCCCTGTTACTTAACTACTTCTGCTTCTGCTGCTGCAGAGGAACAGAAGTGAAACACTGCAATGCCAGAGAGCAGAACACTCTTGCTGCCTGTACCAAGCAAGGC